CGGAATCCTGGACTTTCCGTACTTTGTCTTTGTGTTATCAATGTAGCGCGACGAACTATGACGACAGTCGATCGACAACAAGAACGACAACTGCTCGCGAGGGAATTTGATTTGACTTCCAAGACAGCTTTGCGTAAGGCATGCATGCTTGTATTCCACGATGCACGATTTATCCGAATGCGAGACAATAGCCCGCGACCGAGAAGGCATTTTAATAAATGCAAAAGCAGACGGTTGAGTGAATTCGGCCTCCACACTGATCGGTCTGGTCTTTGGCGGAAAACCGCCTGAAACAACGTAGAATCTTGTTTTATTCAATCCATTTTGTGCCTCAGTTACCATTAGGCACAATAGCAAGATACTAATGCCTGAAGAAAAGGCCATGAGCATAAATAGATGATAAAATTCGCGTAAAATGTCGGAGCTCTAACAAGCACGTCTGCCGTAATTAAATATTCAGATAAGATGTAAACATTTGTTTGGCAATCTTTGAATTGCGGTTTAATGTCTGCAAAAATCATTGTTCTCAATCTGGTTTCTTGAAACGTCAGGACCTACTCAGCCATCAGGACTATCAACAAAAGGTCGACAGATAACTTTTGCCCCTTTGCTAAAGTTTGTTTGGTAAAGTCATAATTCCAATATTAAGAAAGTGAAAAAGACAAACTTTAAACCACAGCATGTTAACGTTAACAAGTACGTGATTAATGTTAGCATTTGTTGATTGAGTTTTGTCATAGCCCCATCTCGTCCTCCAAGGAATAACTTGAAACTTAAACGAAGTCATTCGTCCACTGGATAAAGAAAGCTTTGGCTCTAGAACAGAAGACACTGAAAGTTTAGCTTTTGAGGTTAAAAAATAAACTGGATGCAAAAGGCTTCTTCAAAAAGGAATATTCCCGATTACAATTCTGGGAGCAGTATGATGACTTCGTTGGAAGATTTTCAATTAGTTACTGGGAAAGGCTAAAAGAAAATCGTTCAGTGTGGCAAGCTTTAGTGGACTATGCCCTCATCTTCCTGCTTATATTTATCAAAGCCTACAAGGTATTTAACAGTTAAAATGACTAACATCGACTGCTCCGTCATCCTGACTCTCGTTCTACCAAAAGGCCAAATAAAAAAAATGCTGAGCGGGTCGAGTTCTATTCTTTGTTCTCACAGTGATTCAGAGCAACGGTTAAGCTAATTTACAAACTAATGGTTGAATGATTTAAAGGTTTTCTAGAAACACTCTTGAGTGCTGTCGATTAAAATTTAATAAGTGCAAAACCTAATACAAATTTCAGATGACTCCGCGAAATATCTCGAGGTGAAAATCCGTTGCACACCCATAGAGGCAAATGATTTGTAGATGCGAGTGTTCTAAAGATTGAAATGTGAAAAAATTTCTCATATATCACCCCCGCGAGCTGATTAGGATCATAGTTTACAAAGTGTCCATTGCGAGATTTCGTAATGTCTTTAAGAAACAACCAAATTGATCGAAAAAAAATCCTATTCAACTGATAAAATACAGAATAATTTTCAGAACAAAAGTAGGGGCGGAAAATCGTGCCGAGACATGCAAACCAAACAGACTTAGCTAATTCATTGTCAAGCGTTGTGTACTAAATAACTTTCTCTTGACTATTCATTTTAAAGGAAATAAACTATTAAAAATCCGGCCGTATGATCTAGAATCCCTCTCTCTGTGTGCTTAAGGTTATGATGTTTTCTGTAGTGGCTCTTTAACATACTGCAATATGTCGTGGTAGAAATTTTTTACTTTTAGTGTGGGATTACGAAAAAGACTAATAGGGAATTCATTCCCGCATGTAAACATTTGTTTGGCAATCTTTGAATTGCGGTTTAATGTCTGTAAAAATCACCGTACACAATCTGGTTTCTTGAAACGTCAGGACATACTCAACCATCAGGACGATCAACAAAAGGTCCACAGATAACTTTTGCCGTTTAGTTAAAGTTTGTTTGGTAAAGTCATAATTCCAATATCATAGTAATTCAGTTATTCATGTTCAGTTCGACCGAGTCTCTTGATCTAGAAATTTTTTGTCCCAATTTTTCCCCGGGGCTGTATGCTCATCATTTCAAATTTACTTCTTACTCCTTCTAGAAAAGTTCTCAAAAATTGCACGAGGCATAACATAAATATTTCCAGCAGTACTTCCACGGAATCTACAAATTCAGTCATTAAAGTTTGCAACTTCGCTTCTCTAATGTCCCTCACTTACTTGAAAGAGACCTAAATTTCATGTCATAGTCGGGACAGAAATTTTTAGAGTCAAAAATTGTCAACGTATTTTTCGTAATTGATGCTCAGCTACATGAATTTCTAAAATACAGCATGTTTTCATGATACGAACACAGAGAAACTTGGACTGCTTACCTGAAGTTGGTATTCAACGGATTATTTGTGTCTTGAAAGATAATTCAAAATTTTAGACCCATCTTATTTTGTCTCGCACAGTAAGCTGCATACTGGCAAGAAATGGGACGAAAGATTCTATGCCGTGTCCTGCCGCGAATGTTTAGTAGGTCATTCATGTTTTGAGACATTTGGACTAAAACCACTACAACGCACGCAAACCAGCTGCAATTTGGTRGAAATTAAGCCTCCCGCGCATGCGCACTGTTTGAAATATAAATATAGAGGCAAGACCGATACAACGTAGATAAGTAAATTTTAAGACGGAGCACTATGTTTCGGCTGGCCAAACCAGCCTTCTCCAGGTGCAGTGGGAATTAATTCTATGTTTATATTTCATATTCGTTATTTTGGGCCGATCAGATCATCGCTGGTCCCACGTACAAGAGTTGCCTGCAGAACATTGCACTGTTTGAACACTCCCAACAGACTACGCATGCAGTACAGGTGGCTTCTAGTGTACCCCTTATTAAGCTTTAACTGTAAAACAGTACAAAGTTGATAAGGTCGAGAGATGGGAGCAGGAGAAGAATGCATGAGACAAAGAAACCAAGTTAAAACGGTAGTCCTTTTTATTGTAGAATCTCGTATTTACGATAAAACACAATTCCTCGTCCTTTCCTGAAGAAACGTAGCTTTCAAGTTGTGAAATTTTAATAACTTAAGTCAAATGAAAAACAAAGAGGTGCACTAACTGATCTCTATGAATCAATATATTGATTTTTTATCAAACCGTAGTTTGAAACTTTTATTTATTGACGAATCAATCAAGGCAACTAGATCAATCAAGGCAACTTTGTAATTCCTAGAAACAATTAATTCGCAACAAACACATTTCTGATTGCTTGTGGCCTACATCTCATTTCGACTTACATACATGTTAATTACCGCGTTTTCCTCAACCTAACAAGAATCAACATAAGAGCTTACTGAAAAAGTTACTCTGGATGTTGACGGTAAACTAACAATAAAATTTTGCTTAAACTTAAAGATGCCATCACCTTGGCAAATGTAGCCGCTCTCAAAAAAACCT